TGTGTGTGTTTGTGTGTGTGTGATGCTGCGCGTGTGCTTGTTACAGTGCCCGCCCGCGTGCGTGTGTGTTACATTGTGTGAATGTTACTGTGTGTGTGTGTGTGTATGTTACACTGCGCGTGCAGGTTGTGATGTAATATTACGTAACAGTGTGTGTGTGCGTGTGTGTGTCACGCGCGCGCGCGTGTGTGTCTGCAGAGCTGATTGGTTGTTGCTGCACGCAACCAGGAATTCCCTCCATCATCCCTCCATCATTCTTCTGTCTTCTCTCATCATCTCCCTCTTTCCTTCTCTGTATCATCCATCCTTCTTCGTCTTTCTTCTTTCCTGTTCCCCTCACTCCTTCATCACAAGTCTCATCCCCTATCATCCCTCTCTCATCCCTCCATCATTTGTCATCTTTTGTTGTCATCCTTCCATCCCTCTATCATTCCATTTACTTTGCTTTCTTTCCAGTGCCTTCATCCCTTCATCACATATTTCTCTTCTTTTATGAACATGTTTGTTCTCTTCATTCCTCCCTCATCTCATCCCGTGCCCACCTTTGATTGGAGGATGTGAAGTTTTTCATAGATAAATAAATGTCGTGATTTAGAAACAAACTGTCGACTCCAACGTTAACGTGTCACCAAAGAACAGTAGAGAATCTAGTTCACGGCTCAAACACAGAAAGTGTCGGAAACACTGATCCAGTTAAACGTGTTCATCATCATCAGCGTCTGAGACGACGTTTCCTGTGTTTCGTCTCGATGTCGATGAATTCCTGCACGTTCTGTTGCATTCGTCTGTTTATTGATCCTGGAGGGAAACGGAGTCTGTGCAGCCGAGCAGGACGAGAAATAAGACGGAGAAAGCTCCAGACCACCAAACACACCAGGCATTTACCTCATGACACCTACAGGAGGCGACAGAGACGTGTGCACGGCACAGATGTTAATAAAAACAGACGTAGACTCCGGGAAACCTGTTTTTTCTAGAATGACCAGCAGAGGGCGACTCGACTGCTTGGACACCACAGTGTGATTGACAGCTCGTACCGTCCAATGTGTGCAGAAGGCAGGTGTGGGTGGGCGTGTCCTCTCAGTCGGGATATAACTAAAACAAGGACACCTATGTCAGGGTTAGCCACGCCTCCTCTGAGAATCTGTCCCCCGCCCACCACAGTGTCTGCTCCGCTCGTAGTTGAGCTTCGTCTTCGTCTCAGTCGTTTGTTTTCTTACAGGAAAGGGTCACGTGACCGATCGTAACGGATCCGAACCAATCAGGAAACAGATGTGGTCATTTTCAAAACATGACCCCAGACAAAACCTCAGAGTCATGTGGGCGTCAGGCGTAACCATAGCAACAGCGATACGTTTTAAAACAAAGTTTGACTCCTGACACACTCGTGTCCGAGGTCATTGACGTTCGCCAACACCACGGCCGGCTGACGAGGGCGGGAGGTCAAAGGTCAAGAAAGGGCGCCGCAGCATGAAAGTGATGGAAACACCTGAAACCTGAAGCTGAACACAAACACACTCTGTCGTCACGTGAACTCCCTCAAGGGCGATCAATTATTGAGTGAGCCAACCAGAGCGCAGTGTGTGTGTGTGTGTGTGTGTGTGTGTGTGTGTGTGACTGTTGTTGCCACGACAACACAGTCCCCCTGAAAGGAGAGGGGGGGTTTGATCAGGAAGCAACAGGGAGAGATTGCTCACCCTTTCAAAATAAAGGCACAGTCCTCCTCTTTCTGTCTTTCCTTCTCTCACGTCCCCTCCACTTGCTTCCCCCTCTCTTCTTCTTCTTCTGATCACTTCTCGACAGATCAGATTATTTCAGACGGAAACGAGTCGTAGTTAAGACATAATAAAATTAATGAACCTTATTCTTGTTCCCGTCTCGTGTTTGACGTCATATAAACGTGTTTCTGGTAATTAAATAACGTAATTCTCGTTCTGAGGACAAACCTGTGAACGAGTCGTTATTCCTCCTGAATAAATCTGCCAGCAGAAAATAGAAGTGAGCATCGGACCTGGAGCTTCTCTGATTCTGTCGGCAAAGGTTTGCATCATGAGTCTGAACCTCATGATGTAACGAGAGACGTGTTTGTTATCGAAGATGAATCATGTTAAAGCCGCAGCGACCACTTCCTCTCAGGTAACAACGCTGCAAGTTCCCACTCGACCAATCAGGAGTCGTCTCAGCTGTCCATCACACGTCTCTACAAACTCTAAATATTCTTTCAAACAGAAAGAAAGTGAAGTTAGATTCAGATCAGAAGAAACAAATGTTGCTGAGACTTTATGAAACAGTGTGTTTGTGTGTGTGTGTGTGTGTGTGTGTGTGTGTGTGTGTGTGTGTGTGTGTGTGTGTGCGTGTGTGTGCGTGTGTGTGTGTGTGTTTTCTTGGAAACATGAGGACCCAGGCAAATCCCTGTCTCCATGGCAACTGCATCTCCCTCCTCATCTGTCCGTCCTTTTCTTACTTCTTTGATTTTTTGTTTTTTAATTGTTCCCACATGTTCTGGTCACTAGTGGGTCATTGAACGCCCCCCCGGCACACAGAGGCCCCTGGAGGCTCTGGAGGCCCCGGGGCCCGAGCTCACACCGTTGATACGTGTTGTTTGAAAGTCAAAGAGCTCGGTGAAAAGACACAACACAACCACAACCAGATGTTCCAACAAGGTGATGCAACACAAACTCTAAGAGTCTCCTGTGTTTGTTTTTGTCTGATCACAGAAAGTCAGCGAGAAGGTCGGAGGAGCCGAAGGAACCAAGTTGGACGATGACTTCAAAGAAATGGAAAAGGTACAAATCTGTTCATCTACACAACAAAACAAAAAACAGGACAAAAGTTGAAAAGATTTAGTTTCAGTGAAACACAGGAACCGTTTCCGTTGCTGAGACGAGGATCTAAAAGAAGTTCAGCGTAATTGTTATGATTCATTTTTTTAAGAACAACAGAAACACTCATATATCAGAGGTCCTCACACCGCCACCTGGTGGAAGGGAGTGGTGCAGCATGTCATGATGAATTTCCCGTCTTTTTTATTGGTGGATGAATTTCACAGAGATCAGTTGTTGAGCAGCTGCAGGAAGTCGTCTCATCTGCATGTAAACATCGTAACGTACGTTAAAGTGTCCGGTTGATGTGTTCCCCTCTGTAGAAGGTGGACATCACCAGCAGGGCGGTGCTCGACATCATGACCAAAACTACAGAATATCTTCAACCTAACCCAGGTCGGTCGAACACAAACATGGCAACATGAACAAGACACAAAGGAACGATCCGTCTTCACGTCATCACTTGGTTTTTTTCTCTGAAGCTTCCAGAGCGAAGCTGAGTATGATCAACACCATGTCAAAGATCCGCGGGCAGGAAAAAGGACCTGGTTACCCGCAGGCGGAGACAGTCCTGGGCGACGCCATGTTGAAGTTTGGACGGGATTTAGGAGAAGAGTCCTGCTTCGGTGAGACAGTTACGATGTTTCTGCAAAGACCAGTCAGATTAGAGACCTGACGCATGTTAAACAGTCTCCAAACCCAATAACCAATCTGTTTCCACTTCCTGTTTCAGAAACGTTTAATTCGATGCTTTCACCTCTTGGACTTCCTCTTCACTATTTTCCCGATTTTCCATCTCTCTGTTTTCCGTTCATCCCGTCCTCGCAGGCCTGGCGCTGATGGACGCTGGAGAGTCGATGAAGGAACTGGGGGACGTGAAGGACGCTCTGGACATGGAGGTCAAACAGAACTTCATTGACCCGCTGCAGAACCTCCACGACAAAGACCTCAAAGAGATTCAGGTGAGTGAAACACCTTCGCCTTCTGCGGTCACTTGACGCCACTGATCCGTTTAAGAACAAAGGGAACAGAGATGAAAGCTGAGAAGTCGTACACTCCAGATCACGGTTGTGACATTTCAAGCGATCTTCTCCTCCTCTGCTGCAGCATCATCTGAAGAAGATGGAGGGCCGCCGTCTGGACTTCGACTACAAGAAGAAGCGTCAGGGGAAAGTCCAGGACGATGAAATCAAACAGGCGCTAGAGAAGTTTGACGAGAGCAAAGAGATCGCAGAGCAGAGCATGTTTAACCTGCTGGAGAGCGACGTAAGAATCCTTTCATGTTATTCACAGAACGTGTTGTGTAGACGTGTTGTGTAGACATGTTGTGTAGACATGTTGTGTA